TGATTGTGTTAAGCTAGCACTAAGTCCCTCCCCCATCCACCTTTATTCTTTTCTTTACAATAAGGCTTTCAAATAAGTCATGGCTGTACGGCAGTGAAGCATCGGTGTTGAACACTGATGTCATGCTGTCGATGATGATGATGATGATACTTACGGCCCCCTGAATGCCCGATCCCAAAGGTGGAAGGAAATTTACTTGACCTCAACGTTTTGCTTGAAACCTTTGATCCTCCATGATCAGCGCCTATGGCCACTACTTCATATGTACCGCCAGAGACAGATCCATTGCTGCAACCGAGACGTCGTATCGGTCGCGCTAGAAAACTGTTGGAACTTTTCCAACCTGATCCACGTTGAACGATCAAGAGGAGGAGGTATCAGGAAGGTCAGATTCCTGAAATCATCCACTGAATCTCCGAAATCTTTTGAGACCCTCGGTTCCGCTAGATGCTAACCAGACAGACAACGCCCGCTCAATGTGCAGCGTTTCACAGCCTTGTATCAAACCCAGACAGCGGGAATCAGCATTGAACTAAGTTCAGTGTCCCTCCAATAAGTAGCTTAAGGCCGTTGCATTTTCACACTCACCCTCGCGCACTCGTTTGTTCGCAATAAAGCTGTTGTGTTCGCTTCGGTGAGTCTTCTTCCGGTACTAGGCAGTGGAGCGGGGTCAGCACTCATATGCAAGAGACTAGCGAATCAGCGGATGTAAGACTTGTATGCTCCATACCGTATTGTTCACAAGCAGCTCACATGCCAGGTTCGCACACACTTGAGTGACATTTTCCCGATAAGTCGGTTCACTTGTCAGCCAGCCATAAGCTCAGGAGCGTGGTTAGTCGATCGTAAGATAGGGTTGAGTGAGAGAAGTGGTTTTCACATGTAAGTCCTATTGTTGTGCCTGTCCTCTCTTCATTTTAGCCGGGACTCACGTGCTATTTACCGCTGAGCGGACCCCCTCCTGAACGCTAACGTATCTCATGAGCATCTTTTTATCCCATTTGCGTCTTTTACTACGGCCACTCGCTCAGGCTGTCGGGATTCACAATGGGTCGAGTGTCAGAGGTATGGCGCGTCTTTCCCTTCTCACCTCGGTGGCTGGCTATGATAACAAGCACCCCAATTGTCTGACCAGTCTTCCTTCCCAGTGGGTGTATGGAGATGATGCCTGCTTTATCTCGCGCACCAACACTTCTTATGTCCTTGGTGAGTCTATATCATGACATAAACGTGCATACGTATTATGTGATTCTCCTTTGGCACTTCTTACTGACCTTTCCGTTAAATATAAATCCATATCCTTCTAGATCCGACACTGAATTGTAGATGCTGAGCTCAAGCGTTCCGTTTCCTTTGTTCGCCAGTTCTGCATTTGTGGTTAGTGTGACCTTAAGTCACTGGATGTGGTGAGGTTTTGACTTAATGATGTTTTTTTTAGTTTGTTTAGCTTTTGAACCATGGTAGAATCCCGTCGGTCGGTTAACTTTATCTGCATGCTAGTAACCCAGACCGGAAAATTTGATCTAATGGCTGTATGACTTCTACTTCGATACCTTATTCCTTAGTTTCCACTACATGGCATTAGTGCTTAATTCTTTAGGCTCCATGATTGAACTTCCCAGGCAAACCTTGGCAATAACCCCACAACAAAATTGGTGGATCGAAAACTAAACGAGCTTGTCGTTTACGAAACCATTGATGGGATTCATTTTTGATAAAATTAATTATTATTGCTTATTGCTCACAAAGGTAGTTTGCTAGGGGCTGGAGGACCTATCGTCAAAAACCACGTATGCAAGTGATGTATGTTGGTTAAAAGTATGCAACAAGTGGAGCGTCTGATACGTAGATGTAGACAGAATATCAATAAGGTGCAGTTGTTGAAAATTAGGGCATTGTAGACAAATGAACATCAATTGTAGTCTTGGAAGTATGAAGACCATAAAATGGTGGAAAGACAAAAAGTGGAAACAAATTCCAAAATAAAGCAATCGTGGGGGAACATATGAAAACAACTTCTCGGCAAGGGGAAACTGAGACGTGATACAAGTGAATACAGGGGCATCGGTTGACCGAACAATTGCGTGAGTCGAACGTCAGATCGATGGTCTCTCAGCTGGTTGTTGCCTTCCAGATCACGTAGGTGTGGTCTACCATTGTTATATCCACAGCTTTGGAGATAATAAGGATGATAGCGATGGAGGGGTGGGTGTTCGGATACAATCAACTACCACGTCCAGGAATGAGAGTTAAATGAGGGATTTCACAGGCTAACATGAAAGAGAATAGGGGGTACGTTTCTTTTGGAGATATAAGGATGATAGCTATGGAGGGGTGGGTGTTCGGATACAATCAACTACCACGTCCAGGAATGAGAGTTAAATGAGGGATTTCACAGGCTAACATGAAAGAGAATAGGGGGGTACGTTTCACACCAGAGGAGTTTGAATTGCTCATCGACGTTGAGGATTGGCTAACCGTCCTAGTTGAAATGGTGGGTAACGGGAATTAGTGTGGATAAGCTAGACTGAAGCGCAACTCGAGGTTGAAATTGTGGAATTTGAGGCAATCTGTTGGAAAGATATCTCGAAATCTCAGAGCCATGAGTAGTGGGATCCTTTATGGTCAGCAATGGGAAGACAGAAGGGAGAACTTGAATTCCCACTAACTGTTTTTGGATGGTTCCACAGCTACTGAATTCCTGCAGATTTGTTGAACAGCTGGTCGGTTTGGGACTAAAGCGTTTTTAGGTTTGTTAGTGGTGACTGCAGCAACACAACCCGAACGAGGTGAGGAGCCACGCATGATTAAACCTTTCCGAGAATAAGGGCTTGATCGGTTTGTAATTTGAGGCATAATTTGGCCCATTCGGTTATTAGAGTAAGTTTCGCAGCGAAAGTCGCTAGATCATTGGTGATACAACAATCTCAGGTATAGGAGTCAACAAATTCTCGCTTAGTTTGGCTTAGTGGCGTCAAAAACATGGTCAGATGGAGACGTGTGAAGACCGGTGAAAGTTGAATAAAAACCGGTTATTTAACCGTGACCAAAATGAGTCATCTGAACGTGATGAGGCTAGGTGGTTCGAGCGCAGTCCGAGGCTTGTAATGTGTCATCGTCGCCGTCCGGAATAGACATTCTGAGCTGAAGATTTGGTTATCGAAGAAGTTCTGCCTCGTGGCCCGCTGCGTGTGTGTGCGACGAGAAAGTTAGAAATGGAATGCAGAGTTTGTCGATGGGGTCTGACTGTAAGGTGTGTTCGCAGTTGAAGTTCGCTGTGGAGGAAACTTGAATAGTGCCACTATCATCAGGTAACCAAGAATGCAACAGAAATATTGTTTACTTTGAAGAGGGGATACTTCGAAGCTAGAAATATTGATAAATGGTTGAACAACAGCCTGAAGAGGATAGAGGAAGTAGATGGAATGAGCCTAGGCATAAGTTCCCCCATAAAAAGGAAGCAGTGGTGTAGGGGAACGAGAAATGTGTGATAACCTTGCCAGGACGGAAAATGATAAAATATGATGCACTATATTATCGTTACTGTTCAGAATTCAGATGTTGTGGACTGATGCTTCGGATTTGCGGGAACAGCAGCGAGTTTTTTCTGATAGGAGATGGGTATCCCGACCAACGAACCGAGAGTGACCAACCGTACACCACCGCTCCATGGACAGTAGCTTCAGTAGCTTCAGCCAGTAGCACGAGCATTTCCTCTTAGACCATGAGTGACGCCTTGGGAGCCGTCGATGTCACTCTATTCCATATTTTCCTTTTAGTGGTTGGGATGCTTTCTTATTTTTTTATTAGGGTTCTTTATACGCAGGAGTGATAGCCATCCGTGACGCCTCTGGAATGTACCCCATGTTTGTAGCACGAGTCCTCTTAGACCATGAGTGACGCCTTGGGAGCCGTCGATGTCACTCTATTCCATATTTTCCTTTTAGTGGTTGGGATGCTTTCTTATTTTTTTATTAGGGTTCTTTATACGCAGGAGTGATAGCCATCCGTGACGCCTCTGGAATGTACCCCATGTTTTCAGTTGTGATCAATGAGTACGTCCAACCTCAGTATGGGCTTGACCTAACTGTGATTTATCACATGACTGCTTGGCTTCGGGCTGCTCATAGTTCCGCACATCAGCTTGGTACGAACCTCTTGGCGAATGAGCTCACTAGATCACATATTCACCAGACCTACCTTTCAATGTCTCGCTATCACTTGTTTTAATATTGAAGGTGTTGCTGATGGTGTGGGAGGATGGCGAGCCTATGGTGTTGATCCCGGTCGGTTCTCCAGAGCAGTTATGAAAAACTGCGAACGACTTGTCAGTTCCGGTCGATTTCGTCCCAACCAACCGGGGCTGCTCATCGCACAAAGTTACGAAGATGTTTTAACCTCCAAAGAACCAATCCTCGGAAGTGCGACCCTGTGTGTGATTTCGCTACAACGCAACGAACACCGCATCTACACAGCTACTTTGGGCGATAGTGGATACCTGGTTGTACGCCGAGGGCGAATCGTGGAACGGTCTGTGCACCAGAAACACACATTCAATACACCGTTTCAGCTAGCCTGCCCACCTCCAGTGCAGTCCCGGAATTTCTATCAGGATCGGTAAGTATATTATTCCATTTTGAACTCACCTCTTTATGTCGCGCTTCTTCAGCGTTCACCTCTGCTGCTTTGGTTTTTACACCGAAAGTGGGTGGTCAATCAATTAATTAATTTCTTAGTTAACTGACTAACCAACTAACCTAGTTAAGTTCTTTAAACCAGTGCTGTTTCCGACCATATCGAGAATAAGTTAGTTGTGAAAAACCAAAAAACCTGTAGGAGTAAGCCAACTCCAATTAGGTTTGATGTGACAAGCAAACCGAGCAGCAGTGTCGGTCTATACGGGATTAAAATTTGGCGTATCATGGAAACCCGCGGCTCACATTGGATTCACGGCTTATGGCACTCTACCCGTAATAGGCTAACTCTAGTGCAAGTGTGGTTGCCTACCCGGTACACTCATTTGGTTGGTAAGTAGGGGAGTTTTGCACGATTGCTTTTGAGTGTTTCTGTCAGACATTGAGTCCATTTTCATCAAGAGTGCTCGATGTGCACAGTGCTGGTGTAGTCGTATATGCTGGCGACGTTACGATCTCATACATTAGGGTCAGGTTTGATTTGGAAAAGTGAACTTTGGTCTTCGAGAAATTCATGTTCTTTGGTGCTAGTGCATCCTCTTCTTTGTCGTTGCGCAAACTCAGTACTCGAATCTAAACATCAGATCATTTTTTAGTTCTCTCTACATCCCTCCTGTTTGAATGTTCTTCTAAGGAACTTAGAGATCTGAATTTGCACTTCTACGAGGAACGTTACCCTCTTTATTCTTTAATACATGATGGCATTCTATAGAGGAAAATGTTGGTAGCTCAGGTATCGTAGGTGGTGGTCGTTGGCTTGTTCGCTGAGCTGGGCAATTTGATTGCAAACGTTTCATCGTGCACAACCACCAACCCAACGCTACGCACTACTACGCTCCACAATAACGCACTGATGATGTCACCTCGATTGGTGATGAAACGTTTGCAATCAAATTGCCCAGCTCAGCGAACAAGCCAACGACCACCACCTACGATACCTGAGCTACCAACATTTTCCTCTATAGAATCTCATACATTAGGGTCAGGTTTGATTTGGAAAAGTGAACTTTGGTCTTCGAGAAATTCATGTTCTTTGGTGCTAGTGCATCCTCTTCTTTGTCGTTGCGCAAACTCAGTACTCGAATCTAAACATCAGATCATTTTTTATTTCTCTCTACATCTCTCTTGTTTGAATGTTCTTCTAAGGAATTTAGAGATCTGAATTTAAACTTCTACGAGGAACGTTACCCTCTTTATTCTGTAATACATGGTGGCATTCTATAGAGGAAAATGTTGGTAGCTCAGGTATCGTAGATGGTGGTCGTTGGCTTGTTCGCTGAGCTGGGCAATTTGATTGCAAACGTTTCATCACCAATCGAGGTGACATCATCAGTGCGTAGTTGTGCGTAGCGGTGGGTTGGTGGTTGTGCATGATGAAACGTTTGCAATCAAATTGCCCAGCTCAGCGAACAAGCCAACGACCACCACATGATGGCATTTTCCCTCCCCTTCCGGTGTACTACTACTTCTGCTTTCTCTAATGCCTGCTGAATGTCATCGGTTGCCAGAAGCGTCTCTCTAGGTACTTTGGTACCCAAAGTATCTTCACGTATAATTTATAGCTAGCGAGGGTTGGCTTTCGACAGCCAATTCTATGAGTCAGTTTTAGAGTTTTCGCACGCACCATTTCTGAAGACTGCCCTCGTCCCATGACCCTAGAAACTGCTTTTTATGAGGGATGGGTTTAAATTTAACGTAGAGATTTTCTAGGATGTTTGTCTTAGTATTCCTCATTATTCCTTGTTATATCTGCTGATTTGCCAATCTGTTGTATCTTACCGCTGACCCGTTCCAATGCCTAGTGCCGGAAAAAAAGACTCACAGAAGGGAACACAACAGCTATGCACCGAACAAGCAAGTGCGAAAATACAGCGGTCTCAAGCGATTTATTGGAGGGACCCTGTCTGAACTTGGTCCAGTGCTGGCGCACGCGGTCTGGGTTTGATAAAAGGCTGTGACGCGCTGCATATTGAGGGGGCGTTGTCTGTCTGGTCAGCATCTAGCTGAGCTGAGGGTCTCAGTAGATTTTGGGCATTCAGTGGTTGCTTTCAGGAATCTGACCTTGATATTCCTAATGTAAATCAGCATGCTATGGATACACTGTTTCAATCGTTTGTTGCTTATTTTGAATAACCTATGTACGTGAAAAAAATAGACAAGCAGTACGGCTGAACATGAATTGTAGGGCGGTGTTCGTTGGGTTGATTGGCAAAACAGTAATGCAGTTCTGGTAAAAGTTTATTCATTGATGGCATATCCTTTTTCAACGAGTATAACATAGGAAAGCAGCGTGGAGCTAGTGAGAAGCAAATAAAATGAGGATTTGCTTTTAAGCGCAGAAACTGTGCTACGTACCCTTTCGGTACATAGCTCTTTTGGAACCCGTAGGAATCTTGAAGGCTGAAATACTCCCAAAGTGCTCAAGCGAAGACGAGAACAGCTGTGAAGCTAGGTTTGAGTTTCCGTCGGGGGCCAAAAACATTCCACTCAGCAGCCCTCGATCGTAACCACCGAGTTCGAGCAAAGTCTAGATCTAGGCGTCAAACACGAACTGTTCTTCGCGCATGATGACTCCTGGATAGGTTAATCCGGCAGTGCCAGGTCTATCGCAAAATCATCATCAATGCTCATAGAGTCGCAGATAGCGAACAATCATATACCACTGACTGAAGGCCCCTGTTTAACAGCAGCTGTGGAACAACGTGATCGTCACAGTAGAAAGTATCAGTACCGCAGTCACTGACGTGTATGGTTTGGATGACAGCGAAAGAACATTCAGCATCACAGGAATTCCGCTTTTCATTATTTCAGACTGTCTTTGACGTTCATCTGATAATGTATCAGTTTTTTACGGTTTCTCGTTGATTCCGGCATGGCGAAATGTGAAATTGAGCCAATGTATCAGTTTTTTGCGGTTTCTCGTTGATTCCGCACAGCAGTTAATTCCGGCATGGCGAAATGTGAAATTGAGCGTCCCCCGGGTCCACAGCGTTGGCGCAACACAGGTATTAGGACCCTTCAGCTAGCAATCTACAACCCGGTTGTAGATGGTACAGTGTGCTTCATGAACGACCCATAGGGGTCTACCGATATGGGGCGAGTGCCGCGGCCAGCCATCTCTCTTGATAAAGGTTCGCCCGTTGACCGTAATTATGCAGAGTGTTCTTGAACCCCATCCCCAACGAACTACGTTAAAGGTCGCTTCAGCGACCGTAAATCGGCGAGAAATGCGTTTTGGAGAGATAACTCTACTCAGTTTGATCGAGCTGTTGCTACCAATTACCGCTGACCTTGCCTCCAATGCTTTGTAGTCGGTCACCCTAAGCTACCGTTGTCATTTCTGGAAGTTCACAGCCCCCATCAAACAAAGCATGCCCGACCTTGACAAACATTAGGGAGAAATTTCATTGGTAATATGAAACGGTCAGCGGTAACATCAAGCCCTTTCACCTAACTCCTCATCAGATAGGAGAGAGAGTTCACTGAGACGTAAAACGCAAAGGGATGAGCTAGCGAAATGAAGGAACTTTTCTTGTCCAGAAGTTACCACTCGTCCTCAGCCTCTGGCCGAAATTCTACTAGGGTACTCCATCCCCAAGGAAACACCGAGGGACACCAAAGTCATTCCCCCCACAGCAGTGACCATTCTTGCAAAGGGGGCGAAAGTGAACTTTCTGTACGTCCATGAATCAGTTGTCCCGCTATATCGACAAACCAATGGAACATTTCCAGGACCAGAGCTGGATCGGTCAATCTATTTCCGATGGTCAAATATGACAGGTCATCCCCAATTACTCGTCTTTGGAATTCGAAAGGGGACTGCCTAAAAGATTAGAAAACTCTGATTCCAGTAGTTAGAACGATCTTATTTGAAAACTTAATAGGAGTTTAATCATGGCCTTCATGAACCTCTTATTTGGGAAATTGAAAACATATTGCACGACTGGTGCATATCGGCCTTCAATCCCGCTCAAGAACCTTATGTGGTAACTACAGTATACTATCTTTTTGCCTGCAGATTACCACAGAGACTCAGTGTGTACAGATTAATAGCAGTATGAAAAATTAACTCGAGAAGAATAGAGAGGTCTTCCACGTGAGTTGCGGCGGCAAGATTGATTGCACCAAGATTAATTACAGTTGGCGGATGCACCGTGGTCATAGACTCTCTACTGACCATGTTTTCACGTCGTGTGTGTGTGAAGCCATGCATATTCAGGGACGGACTGAACTTTATAGGGATGTGACGATTTTCGTGTCTCCATAATTTATTGAGCTATACTGCGAACACCTACCATTCCAGGTTGCCTAAAGGCTCGATTAGCATCGTCTCCTGGTCCTCCAGGTTGGGGGTAGCAAAATGTGTGGCCACTTTGTAGGTCGGTCTGACGGCCTTACGCTAATCGTTACCCTGAAATTAAGCTCTTGAGCAGGAGGCCTTGATTGGGGACTCTAATTTTCTTCCTGTCTAGGTTTGGGTACCCTGGCAGTACCCTGAACCCAAGCACAACCGTGAATTTCACAGTTACCAGTCGTTTCATGCAACATCAGCTATCGCGTGGTACCATAAGCCGCGTTGCCTTACCCGCTGCATACAGCAGACAACTGATGACCTCTTCCTTATTCCTCTACCATATATTCGTTCTTCCCTTTCGTACACGGTTGCCAGTGATATCTCCGTAGGCCCGTTCTGAAGGATTTACGGATGCGTTATCCACCCATTCCATGCCACATCGATGGTTAATTCGGCGGTCATTTTGAAGATGCTGTCCGTAACCAACCAGTTCTAAGCGCCGAATATCGAGCAACCCTCTAAAGTATCTCGGAGCCCGGACACGTATTCCTCCTGGTCGAGAGCACAACGCAACCCGACGAGCTGTCATACGTCGGATAAAAAAGAGCATCTGTCTGGATTGGGAAGCT